TTACAAAGGCTGGATAGGAGGGATCTGTTTATCTTGCTGTCTGTGCACTCAGAGCAGTGTCCCGAGCCCTGTCAGAGGAGCCCGGACTGACGAGGAGCACATACACGCCACAGAGGTCGATGTGCTTGATAGCTGGGATACCATGGAAGATTTTGCATTCTTCACCTTTAATCTCTTATAGCAAAATGGAATTCAAACTTAACCCTCAAAGAAATAAGTCAGCTCTGGTTAGTGTCATGCCATGTCCCAAGTATCCATCAGGATTTGTTTTTGGTGGATTAGTGCTCTTTTACGTATTTAATTCTTGGTCAGCAGTGCTATTGTTTTAACTGATTCTTTCAAAAGGTGTTTATTTTTGCTGCTAATCCAAGATGAGCCCTGTAATTATCTGTGAAATGGAAGAAACAGTTCAGGGCAATTCCTTTCTGTAGCTGGGATGCTCTCTGGAGGCATTGCCTTGTGGTCACCATTTCATGTTTTCTGATGTGCCTTTTTCCATGGCTTTATTTTCAAAACAGTTGCATCACATTTCAAGTTCCTTGGTCCTTCATTAACATGTTTTACCAAACATACCTCTGTGAGAAAGCAGAGACTTTTTGTCTCCTGGGTGGATTAAGTGCCATTCTAGTGTTTATGGTGAGAAGTATCTTTTCTTTGCCCCAATATTTTAATTTAATACATGTTTTGTTGGGTGTTTCACATATAGGGCTCCAGATGCTGGGCTCCTTGTACTTAATAGGCCAAATAAATAAAATAAATAAAATATTTCACTTTCACAGTTTCCTATCTTTTCAAGTTACAGAAGGATGTCAGGGACAAAGAGTTAAGAGATAACCTCCTTCTCCCACTATTTAGCCCTTCTTCACATCATCCTCTGCTCTTTACCATCCAAATGCAGCACTTTATTAACACACCAAGGCGATGGGTTTGATTCACTTATGACTTGGACTTGGTGATCCTTGTGGGTCCCTTCCAGCTCAAAATATTCTGTGATTCTGTGAGATAAAACTTGGTGCCATTGTATTCTCAGCACCCCTTTCTACCTTTTCCCTGCTCTGACAGATGCTTGCTTTTCTCTACCACTCTCCTTCAGGATATAATACTTGTTTAGACCTGGGCATAACTATGGTCCTCTGATATTTCTTCAGCTTCTTTATCTTCCCTGGTTTTCCTTTTTATTTTTTTCTATACTTACTTTCTCTTCTTTCCTGTCCCACAGCTGCTGCTAGTAGATCATTTTTAAAGCTTTTTGCATTTGCTCCTAGCCTTTGCTCTGTCTATTTTATGCAGACTTTTTACAGACCAGGTAACTCTGTTGGTCATGGAGAGGTTGGAAAGAAATTCCACCTCTCTCTGGGGAGCTAGATATAATTATTTAGGACGATTTTTCTCTCTCTACTGACTAGTTCTGGCTTTTTTTCTGAGATGGAACACTGCTCTAGATGCTTTCTGGAACTGCAATGGCTTGGGAAATTTTTATGTTGCCCAAGCCTGAGTGAGTGTTTAGCAGCTGAGCTTGGATTGTGCAATATTCCTTGAAAGTAGAAGTCTGCACCTATACAGGTTCAGTTTGGGCATTCACCTGGAAGAGAACCTAGTTCACAAATGAACATCATGAGGCCTTTTGAATCTGTAAAGCGTCCTAGGCTCAAGATTTTCTTGAAAATCTCTGTTTTCTGTTTGTTTACACCTTCAGTCCTGCTCTGATCTCCCCAAAACATGTCAGTGCTGACAGCTGGAGACCTGGCACTTGATGCAAACAAAATGCTGTAGTGGAATTAAGATTATTTACAGTAACTGGTTACTTGCTTTATTTTTGAAGCAGATGGAAAATGCACTGATGAAAATGTCATTTATAAATGGATTAACAATAATCACAGTGCATACTTCTCAGGATCGTAGTGAAAACATCTAAGTAAAACAACAAACAAAAAAAAAACCAACATCCCAGCACATCTTCCACCCTCTTTCTCCCCAAACATCATGGTCATAGTTCTTTTAAAGGTGGGAATAGGAAGTAGGGAATCTTCTATGTTCAGGATCATTATTATACTTCCAAACCTCTGTCTGCATTTGCACTGACCCTAATACAACATCTCTGAAGAAGGTCAGTGAATAGTAGGATAATTAACAGCTGCTCAAGATCGTCATGGATGCAAACAACCTCAGTGTATTTCCAAAAACTCAGGGGAGCTCTGTACTCCCTTCTTCTATCCCGCAGTGTGCTGATGTTTTTGCCTTTCCATTGTGGAAAGAGCATCTGCAGATCTGGGCAGTGATCAAAGTCTGCATCTAGGTTATTCCAGTTACCAGCAGCACCCAGAAAAGGAACTTGAATTTAACAACATCATTATGAATGTACTGCAGGAAACAATGCATCTTCTTCCTACATAAACAGTATAAACAAAACTTCTGATAAGCACTTTACTACATGGAATTCCTCATTCTTTTCTTTGAGAGCATTCCAAAATTTAGTGTGTAGCTTAATCAACTTCATACATGCTTGAGCTGGGCAAGTCAAAACTAACATGACCCTGCGCAAGGATAAGCATCCCTTTGCACGAGAAATCACATTCTGCTTATTTACTATATGTGAAAACCGTCCCAATCATTCCTTCCCTGAGGCAACAGGAACATTTCCATGTTTCCTTAACCACTGTCACCCTTCAACACTTTCCAGGATGCAAGCCTTGTTCTCAGGATGACCCTGGCTGCATGGTCATTAAAGCTGAGATGAAGCTGATGAAGCAAAATGACCAAACCCTCAACTTTAACGTATTCAGCTGCAATAGAGTCATCAGCTGAAAAGTATGGTGCTGTTTAACCCCTCTTTTCAGTCAATTGTTGATCACACTGAAATTCTTTTGTATATAAAACTTTGGGCCCTGCTTTGGCAAAGAGTTGAGTACAGGATTATCTTCACCTGCAGGTTACTTTTTCTAAATTAGCAAGGCTGTTTGCATGGGTTAAATAAATACACACATAAGCTAATATAATATTTTTAATTACAAAGATAGCAGTGTGTTGATACAGTCCTGTGTGGGTGGTAGGCATTAAAGCAAAGGCAGGGAGATGAGTTAAGCAATTCAGATGGCGAATCAGATCTATACTTAGTGGCAAAAGTTCTGGGAAAACACCACCTTTTTGAAAGCATATTTATACCAGGCCTGTATTGGGATCCTTTTAAAATCAAAGTCCTTCTGAAATCATGACGCTTGGGTCTGGGCTGGAAATCATCCAAAGGATTTCGGCTCTGTGCTCGAGTATGATCCAATTTCTTTTAAAAATGGAGCTTCTGGGGAGGGCCTGTGACCACTTGTGGAATGTGGTAAATTAAATCCTTTGTTATCTATATTCAGACATCAGAGGGGTTACAGCAGTGCAAACCTCTCTTCATTTCAGGCCTTGTCACTGGATACTTTCTGCTTGGAGCAGGAGGGTAAGGAACATGATGTGGAGACAGGTGTCTCCTGAGCTCTTGGGTCCAAGCACTCAGGTCCTGCTTTTGTTCCTATTATCTCCAAATCAGGAAAGGCTGTCTGGGAGAGATGAGGGCTTAGCCCTGCGAGAAAGCCCTACCATTTTACTGGCTTCAAGACAGCAAGTCCTGTCTTTGCTTACTCATTATTTGTATAAAGGAAAAGAGAAGTAATTACGACAGAATAAACATCTAAGACATCCTCTCGAGAGCAAAAGTCGGAAGGAGGGGGAAAGAAAACTTCTGCCATGCAGTACTCCTTTGCTTAACTGAACACAAGAATAGATACAATACACAGTGTTACCTGGAGGACAGAAATACCTTGAAGTTGGCAGTTCACAGCAGATACTGTACAAGTCAGGGAAGATTTCTGACAAGTCCTAGGGTTTCCCAAGAGTCCATCTATCACTAACCTTCTTCTGGGTATGAGACAACATACCAAAGTGATTAACACCTTAGTCATAGCTGATTCATATATTGGGATCTGCATTGTTTATTTATTTATTTTGCTATTAGGGTCTTCCTGTAAGAGACATGGAAAACTGAGGCACAGAATGGTGGAGTGACTTGCTCAAATGTTGCCTATGGCAGGTCAAAAAGTAAAAGTGTATTGCTCAAGTCTTCTCACACCCCTTTGTTACTTCTGTACTGGCTTAACAGAGGAGTTGCAGTTTTTTACCTGCATATGCCTTTTAAAGCCTGCAGACTTTTCTGGCTGCCATAATATACAAGTACAACATGTTGCTCACACTCCTCTGATTTTTCTGGCTGCAAAATGAGGTCATTTGTACTGCAGGTGAAAGAGAGTGTTAGTAAAAGCTGATTTGCGCACCCTCATTTTCCTGGACCATTTCGTACTTGTAGGAAGTTACATGGTGATCAGCGCCAATGCATGAGCCAAGCACTTTGTAAAGGCACAGTCGGTTTGCAGGTTTGCTCCCCTGGTCCCAGGCAGTTTAACCGTGAAAACAGAATATAGTACAACGGGCCAGACCTGATGCGCTACTTTATCACAGTCCGTTGTTGTTAATCTCCTTCCTTATGAGTGGTGGGGAAGTGGCAGCCGTACACAAGGATAAATAGCCGTCACAGCAGAGATGCTTTGAACTGCTCTGCTCGTTTGGGGAAGAGATTTGAGATAAAGCCGAATCTGGAAAGCATCAGTGATGGTGCACCGAGAGCCGCTGATCACCCCCACCGCTGCGGATCTTTCCACCGCTGTCCGCACTCTCGTCTCCCGCTTTTCCCGTGCTCCTCGCAGCCAGGGGGCCGGGAGGGGACCGGGGTGTGCGGGGGGGAAATGTTGATGCCCCCTCACTCCCACCGCACATCTGCCGCGACCCTGCAACATCTGGCCGCCGCCCCGCCGCGGGGCAGCATCTGCCGGCACATCTGGGCGGGCGCGGCCCCTCCCCGCGGGCACATCTGGCGGCGGCGGGGGGCGGCCCCGCGGCGGGGCGGGAGGAGCGGCGGGTCGGCGCAGCCCCGCCGCCGGCCAGGGCGGGCAGAGCCGGCGCGGCGCGGAGGGGAGCGGCGGCCCGATGGGGCGGCCGGCCGGCAGCCTGGCCCCGCTCCGGCTGCTGCTGCTCCTGGCGCTGGGGCACGCCTGGACCTACCGGGAGGAGCCGCAGGACGGCGACAGGTGGGTGTCGCGACAGCGCGGCTGCTCCTGTGCGTTCCCCTCCCATTCACCACCTTCTTTTTCTTTTTCTTTTTCTCTTTTTCCTTCCAATTTTTTTTTTTTTTTCTAATACTACGGCTTTGCGCCTTGCAGGGAGGTTTGCTCCGAGAACAAAATCGCCACCACCCGCTACCCCTGCCTGAAGCCCACGGGCGAGCTCACCACCTGCTTCAGGTGAGTGCCGCGGCTGCGGAGAGCGGCGGGGAAAAGGGGCGCGGGGCACACGCGTGTCCTCGGCTGGGGCTCGCTGCCGGCGGGGAAGGCAGCGGGGGACACTCGCGGTTAATGTCAGGGCAGGGGCAGCAGCTGTGGCAGCTGTTTGCCTCCCCCCGGCTCTGTGCTAGCCCATCCCGGCGCTCCGACCACCCCGCGCACCGGGGAGCAGGTAACGTCACATCCCTCTCGCTGTCGGCATCTCCCTTGGCAAGTCTTGCGGTTGTCCCAGTGAAAGGTTTTAGTAACTCGCTGCAAACGTCACCTCCGAGACACCGCTGGAGAGGGCGCATGTGGTTCTGGTTGCCGCGTCCCGGCCACCGCCAATCTTTGATGCGCTGAGAGGGGCTTCCTCTGACTTGGGTGTCCAGGAGCACACTGAATCTACAGCTGCATCAGTGGCAGGATAATCAGTGAGATCAACTGGATTCGTGCCGCACAAAAGACATTTTCAGTTAAGATAGGTGAATCATACCCTCAGAATGAGCAACTTCTTCAGCAACCAGCTCTGGGGGAGGAATTCAGCAGAGGCCTCTCGAATTAAGTACGATAAATCTTAATTCTGAGTTTTCATTTTTCTACTGTGTGTTTGGGAAGCATCATCTCATTCAATGATGACAGCTGTCCAGAACAGTTGACAGTAGAGGTGCTTTTTGAAGAAATGTACACAAAGTATGAGCACACAGGTATCCCTTTATTATGCCGTCCTGTTAGTCCCATCCCCACAGACGAGACGTGTCATGCATAAAAGCTGCTTTCTGTGAGAGGTTGCTTTGTGGAGGCTACTGTGCTCTGCCTGTGTGTGTAGGCTTGTATGTGGCAGGGAGTCACTTATGTATACCAAAATATGACAAGGCACATCAATGCATGTGAAAAGTGTTAGAGAGACTGTCCATTTTTTCCCGATGTGTTTTGTGTTTGGATTAAACTCCAAAGGGCTGCAGACACATAGTACAACAGTGTTGTTTGTCCCTCTCTTATACTGCCAGGGCTGGTTCACACCCTCCAGCAGCCACAGCTACCTGGAATGGTGTCCTGCTACTGCCCAGTTCTTAGCAGCATTAGCTTCCTCACAGTCCCTGGGAAGGGTTCTGAAGGGAGTGGAGACCACCCTTCCCTGTTTCCCTTATCACCTCTCTCCTCTCCCTGTGAAGGTGAGGCAGAGCCCACTTAAAAGCAGCTCTGTAGCACCCAGTGGCACACAACACCTTTTGGAGAGGGGCAGTGTGTCAGATTTGCAGGGAAAGAGGGTACTTGGTTGAACCTGCAGCGCTTCCCTGGTTTGCGAGTAGAGCATGGTGTGGACAAGGCTGTGCTGAGTGGGGAGCTAGAGAATGAAAAAGCCAGAGTAGGAGATGCGTAAAGTAGCACACACATGACCATCCTGCCCCTTACTGCATGTACCAAAACCCAGCTGAGGAAAGTAGTTCTGCTTTATGTGTGATGGATGAGGAGGCTCCAGTGATTGCTGCAGACCACCATGCAAAGAAAGCGGGACTGTCCAGCTACTAAGTCTCACTTGTACTTTCTTTTGTCTTTGCTGAGGTATTTCTGACCTTTGGGCTCTAGTTCTGCCGAGCCCTCCCTTCCTCCTCAGCTCTCCCTCTGCACAATCCTGAGGGGTATTCACCATCTGAAATCAGCGCAGTCCATGAATGAGCACTTCCAAATTGCTGCACTGAACTCTCGACTGTTTTAGTTCATGTTTTCAAACCTTTTTTATAACTATAATTTCTAAGTCTGCCTTGCTTTAGAACAGAAAAAAAAATCAGTTTCCATGTAATCACGTATTTTCAAGGTCTAACCTTTCAGGTCAGATGAGGGCTCCGTTCCCCACCCTGTGAGCTCTCTTTCGTGATGCCCATATGCACAAGAGCAGGGCAACATCTCTGAAACAGAGGTGTGTGGCTCAGTAGAGCAGCTCTGCACAGAGCACATACCTGTGCTGCCTTGTGTTGCCAGTCCTGCCCCTCAGACCTGTGTCATGCTCTGACATGGCCCAGCAGTGTCACCCACCCATGAAAGTGAACCTCAGGGAAGAGCAGCATCCCCACTGCTCCTGGTAGCAAGGTGTGCTTCCAGCAGGCACGTGGGATTACTCTTGGCAGAATACATTTTAATGTAAGATTCATTAATCTTTTGAGGTTGGGGTTGTTAACAAGATGACAGGAAACTTTAGAGTGTTGACTAATCCTGTGATGCCTCAAGGCACATTTTGTTTCATAAGATGTTTAGGAACTTTAGGATTCAGTTTTCATCTCTGGAATGACAAGTTACACCTAAAGAACTTGAGCTCGATAGAAACTCAGCTGTTGCTTTAAGGAGCTTTTGCTTCAGGTTTCAGATAAGCTTGATTTTGATACTATAGTATTTATTCTTACAACATTGGATGTTTTATCTTCCTAGACAGTTTTTTTCACAGTATTTCACAATTACAATAGTTATGTAATTTATATACATTGTTCGAGGTAGATAAAAGGATAGTTAATGTCAGCTTCTCTTTACTATTAGCATACACACCTAACTTCTTCTCTAGGTCAAAGTACATTTCGTGTAGAAATTAAACAAACTTACACAAAATTTATCTCATGTCATAACATGTCAGGTGCAAGGCAACATGCACCACTACTGATGATCTGCTGTGCAATTAGTTAAATGGAAAAAAACCACCCCACATCTGAAGTCAGATGTCAGAATTCCTGAGCATAATTCTTGACGGAAAGCAATCTCACTCTTTTATTTCTTCTTCTGGGATTAGTCATGAAAATCAGCATGTTTTCAGAGACCTTCAATAAAAATAGCATCTTTTCATCACAAAAAATATTTCTTGATTATTTTTTTTTAAGTAGATTTACTTATGAATAAAGATGAGCCAAATGGAGGGCCAAGCCAGAAGTGGGGCCAAACACTGAGAATATATTGGCATCTTTCCCTGCAGTCATAGCAACCTTGTACACAATCAGATGGTTTTTTTGGGTTTTTTTATGAATGTGTGCTGTCTGGCCCTTGATTTAGTTTGAGTTGCATTTTTTTTTACATATCCTTTGTATTTATTTTCATAAGAGTACAGAGTAACAGATGTAAAAAGCAATGGGAACTTATACAAAGTCTTTCCAGTGGAAATCTCATTTAAACTCTTGTATGGAACTGCATAAAGTACCCAATATGTGTGTCCTCATCAGGTAGGTATAGAGAAGAATTTCTGCAGATTTGTTAATAGTGGAATGATCCAGTAAGGCTTAGTTTCTTACTGTATGCAAAAATTAATCGAGTTTGATGAAATTTGGGCAGCATGAGCATATGAGGCCCCGGTCCCTTGTTACTGTCTTCTCCAGTTATTTGGATGTGATGTTAACCTATTTCACTCTCAAACAGACTTCTAACAATTTTTTGGCATGATAAATTACATGAATGTTGTCGTTGTTCTTCTTGAATTATCACTTGCCTGTGACAATTCAGTTTGTACATCCTGGCAGCAGTCCTTTTCATTACTGCCCTTCCTTCATTTTCATTTTAAACAGTGCTACTGTACATTGTTGCTGTGGTCCAGAAGGAAAAGCAGCATCTGGAACTGTCATCCCCTTTCTTCATCCTGATTGTGTAGCTGAGTTCACATAAGGGAATGGTAGAAATGGTAGTGGTTCTGTTTCTTCCAAGTTCAGGAGGATCAACATCTAATCCGGTACAATTTATTAATTGGAGTTGCTCCTTTTTAAAACAACAGCTTAGGAGAGCTAAATATTACATTCAGTTTGAATTCAGAGAGTGTGCTGAAAATTATTCAGGAAGGCAGTATACAGACTTAACAAAAACATTTGCTAGTGGGAAGTTGTTTGCCCATCACCAATTGTAAGAAGATTCAAGCTTGAAACATATGGGAAAATGTGAAGATTTTTATCCCCTGACTGTGCAGATCTCTTTGTCTACTAGACATTTAAATATTGTTGCAATTTGACTTGAAATAATTACTTTTGCTCCTTTTCTGAAGATTTTTATAAAAATAAAGTATTAAATTAGGCAAACCATGCATGAATCAGGCAAAATGAAAATTTGAACCTGGATTTTGAATAGACTGGAAGAACACTTTGGCCACTGCCTTTGTGGTCAAAGAGAAGGTTTGGGATTTTTCTTTTATTTAGACGAAACTATTCTTCTAAATTAGTTGACAAAACGAAGTTGACTCTTGACATGGTGAGAAAAATTATCCATCTTTCTCTGACATCACCATAAGCACTCTCTCCTTCCTGCATTTTTTGCTGAAAATGTAGTGTGCAAGGAACATTTTATACACTAATTCTTTGTGTGTAGTAATGGAGAACTGCTCCTGGTTCTTCCTTCTGCAGGACCAGCGGGAAGTAGCGGGTTTAGAATTGGGGTGCTTGGCAGAACAATCCCAGCTAATGAGGGTAAAATCTCTGTAAAAATAAGGCAAATCTTTACATATCATATCTACAAATAAACCCCATATTGTGGGACTTAAATCTTGGCTTAGAACTTAATCAATAACTTTTTTTCTTTTTTTTTTTTTTTTTTGGTAGTTATTTTGCAAGCAAAAGGTCTTTTAAATAGGATGAGCACATTTCAGTGTAGGTTGTCAGCGTCTTCATCTGATATTTAGCAGCTACATGTATTTTGCAGAGGCCTTCACTGCGTTTCAGGTTTTAAATTCTGCTGTAAAAATTTGTTTTACACTTCATAACAAAAAGACAATTCAAATGTATTGCGGAAGAGAATGCCTGTACACTTACACCCTACTTAGTTCTGATGCTAACCAGAGATTGCATGCCTCAAAAAGCATTTCATTTTACCCTCTTGAATGCTGATACTGCTGGTAAAGCCTACTATTTTTATAGGCTGTATCATTTTGCACATTCTTAAAAGATAAAAGTAATTGGAAGTAAGCTGGATTGTAGCTGTTCCACAAAGAGCAGCACTTTCACTAATATGCCCTTGGGGACCAT